ATCTGCAGGCAGAGCTGATCATTGTCCTCAATGTGAGACAAAAATAAAATATGAGTTATTGTGAGCCTTATCTAAATAGACCTGTAAAATTGTCGCCAGTAGTGTTTGTATCTTCAAAGGCTGTAGGGACTGTGCTCCACATTGACCATGTTACATCCATCATCTCTGGTGGCTCATTCAACTCAATACTACTGTCATTGGTAGCGTGTGTGCCATATTCTTGCCCTACTCTGAGACTAGGCCTTGCAGCTTTATTTTTAAATATTGCCATCACCAACTAGTTCCACTTTTTTTCCCTGATGTTAGGATTACTTGAGAAATAGAGTCCTGATGTGCTCAGACTTCTGCCAGTTTGGGATAAGATATCAAACGTACTAATAATTCTCCAAACTTTTCTCCTGGCTCTTTTAACACATCCTTGTCTTACAGAGCACAGACATGGTCCTATTCAGTCCTTTTTTGCCATGGTGTGGACAGAGTCTTACATTTCTGGTACTCCCGTATCCTAAAAAAGAAAGGAAGATGGAGATTTTTTTTTTTTAACTCGGAGCTCTCAGCGAGTCTATCTGCCATTTGAAGTTTTGGATAGTCATGTTTTCTTTTGTAGTCTTTTCCTTAGACCTAATGAAGCTTTTTGTTACTCCTAATTTGCAAGATACCTTGCTCTTCGTGAAAAATTCACTTAATTTACTGGAAGTATTTTGAGTCACATGCTTCAAGTTCTGTAAATCTTTGCTGTGGTAGGCTTTTCAGAATTGACCATTGTAACTTGCTCTCTGCTCGCCTGTCAGAATTAAGAGGGATCTGTATTTACCTCCAGTGCAGCTTTGAGGTTCCCTGGAATCTCCATATGTGTTATCCATGAACTGCAGTAAAATCCTACCGAAGTTAGTTGTGGTTTATGACCTCACGTATAGTTTTACATGAAGTTACATCTTTATGGTTGTGGCTCTCTAACAGTGCTTGAGAATATTTTACCAACCACGCAGGCAAAGAATGCATGTGAAGAAACATTTCTTCCTGTAGATTTCTGGGTCCTTTGATAACATTTCCTTCCCATGTCTAGTAACAGATGAATCGAAGTTAAACTAGGATGTATGCTTGGGCTTTCTGCAGAAGTGGAGTCTATAAGCCCAAATAAAAGTCTCAGTGCATGTAAAAGTGCCACTACTAAGAACAGTATAATAAGCCTGTGAAAGTTTTAAAACTGTTTTTAAGAGAATGATTTGTAGAACCCTAAGACATAATGCAGTGTCTATATAGGCTGGCAGAAAGGGATCCTGGAGTAGAAAAAGCAACATGCTGGTGAGATTGATGAACTCTATATGACATCAACTCACTAGTCTTTCACCTTTCTGGTTCCGAGAACAATTATACAGAAAATCAAAGCAGAAAGCTCCATCAGTTATGAACGTCAATTAAAGACTATTTTATATCTCGTGATCCTAAAATGGAATGTTCCTCAGTGGATTTGTTTCAAATAAAAACACAAAGTGCCTAGCATGCCACTCCCAGTGGGAAGGAAGACCAGGACTTCTGGTTGGAAATGGTGATGTGATAACAAACTTCATTAAACCCTTTTCCCCCTTCCATCAATCTTTTCAAAACCAGACAATTCTGGCAGGGTCAGGGGAAGACCATCACTTCCAGTGCTGGCTCTATGAGTCTGTCTGTTCTCTCATCTGCTTCCAGGCTTCACTGCAGTTCATAAAAGCCTGAAGATCAAACTGAACATGTCATAAGGATGCCCAATTTAGGTGTCACTTTCTTCATGTTGTTTCATCATTGCCTTTTTGTTCAATTTCCCTTTGCTCCTATTACTGGTATATTGTATTCCTTTCATACTTACCTTCCTCAGTAATGGATATACTCCCTTCCCTTTTACAAGAGAAAGTTCCATACCAGTTCTTTATTTACATCTGATTTCCTATAATCTTAGTTTTTACTTCTTTAAATTTATACTCTTCATCTGTAATGCATAACACTTTTACATGTATTTAGACTTCAGAATCTTTTGAATGTGTGCTGATAGAGCCTGAGATTTTTTAACACTTGTCTGAGTGGAATATAGCTGTTGGGCTCAGCCTATCACTACAGCTTTGTAGTGCCCACTAACAGAATACAACATTCAGACTTTGACTTGCTTATCTGGAGCTGTCTTCAGGTAGTGATTGCATTGCTTCCAATATACAAATTTCTAAACCCACTAGTACAGATGTAGCTCTATTTCTTTGAAATAATTTATATTTTTTTATTTATTTCTGTAAAGTAGGGAGATTTATATCAATACAAATGTGCCTTTATCAGGGCTTTTGCTGGCTATAACTAGACTGGCAACAAAATGTTACTTGTGGAATATGTTTACTTATTATATCTAAATGCTTTGCAGGTAACATGTTTCTTTATAAAACCTATTTTTTCAACAGCTTAGCTGGTTTAATTTTTCTTTTCTTGGCTTGGTGAGGGGGACTAGTGGTGGAGTTATGTGCATTGTTTCTTTCTATAAGCATGATCTGCACCTTGTGCTATCTGCTTCATGTTTTTCTGCAAGGCTTCAGTTTAATCAAGAAAGACTGTTCAAGGAGGAGGAAACAGGAAGTAAAACAATAATGGAGATAAGTGAATCACAAGAAGAACTAGTAGCTGCAAAATGCTCCTGATAAGATTCTACCACATAAGCATGGTTTATTATCCCCAGTGCTGAAAGCCTAGGATCAGAGAATTTATCTTTAAAGATGATGGCATGTGAAGTGAGAAGCACTGAACAGATTTTTGTATAGTTTGCTATAGTGATGCACCTGTGAAACAGAGAGATACAGAACTGCAGCAAGCAGGCTGATGGTCCCAGCCAAGAACTTGGAATGAACATGGATTATTAACAGCTGATGTAAATTTAGGAAAGGAAATATGCGTAAAGAACCCTGCTTCCTTTGCTTATCTTCCTATATATTCTATTCTTTTCAGCAATTATTATTTTTGTTTTGTTTTTCTATTTTTGTTTTGAAAAAGATGTTTCTTGAGCTTCTGCTGTCTGTCAGTTATATGTCACTGGAGTCTTGTAAGTTCCAAACCCATTTGTGATTGTCAGGTTAAAACGGCTGTTAAACAGAATACAACACAAGACTTGGTGACAAGACTGGAGGGTAAAACTGATTCCAAAGTACAACGCTTTTAAAGGGGAGAAAAAACCCGGTTTAAACTATTTGGCCAGAATAACACTTGGCTGTGTATTGTGGCCACATAAAAAAAAAAAAAAAAAAAAAAAGAAGCTTTAAAAAAAGTTATTTTAGAAAATATATTAACATGTTTCATTATAATATACATGACTTCCTAACAAAATTGAAAAAAACTATATTTGTTTTACACGCTTTTTCTATTTATGCTATTCACAGAGTGGATAGTCTAACTTTATCCTGTAGTACTAGTTTCTTCAAATGATGCACAGATCTTAACAGGTTGGTTTTCTGCCTAATACAGGCTATTATTTGAAATGAACCCTCTCCAAAGGCGTTGTTCTTCTGTTCTGTAGTCTTAGCCATATGTTTCCAAACATGTGATTCCAGAGCTTATTAAAAGCACAACTTTTTCCCCATCTTTAATCATATTATGGCTGTTAATGTACATCTTGCTTACGGCTTTTCATTAAGAGCAACTGGCTATAATAGTGCTATAGTAAAGGAAAGAATGAAAACACTCAGAGGAGAAGATATTCTTAAGTTAAGGTTCTAGCTGCAGCATGGACTCACCTATATTTCACACAACAAATATTGTGGGAGTGTTTCTCAGTTACCTGTTGCCTGCCTGCCTGCCCCTGGCTTCCTTGTCACAGGGACTGCTTATGCCATTGCTCCCTTACGCAAGCTCCCAGTGCCAGGGGTTTACATGACTGAGGACTAACTGCATTCTACAATTCTACAAGGTGGGCAAGGTAAGAGTGATTTGAAGCATATTAAACTCCTGAGTTATATACAGAAAGTCTCTGATTGTATTTTTAGACTGATGACAATGCTCTTTCAGTATGAAGTCAAACTTGATGAGATTGTTAGGATCATGAAACAGAATCTGTTTAACAACCATGACATTGAAAAATCTGCTATTATTACTGTACAGAACACAATTTCCATTGCCCATCTTTATAATTAAATATTGGTTCAACGAAGCTGCACTAATTAGATACATAAACAATCTTGTTATGTTGACTCTTGGTAGTCTCACCTATGTTCTCTTCTTCTTTTTGAGTACTCACTATTCTGCAAGGTATCAGCAACCCTTGATGAGTTCATACCTCCTCTTTAGCACAACTGCACAGATTAAAACCTTCTATTTTTGATTAGGTTATTTTTCCTACACAGAACATGTAATTTTTTTTTTTAATCATGGAATTTCTTAAGTGAATGCTTTTAGATTTAGTACATGGATGTAGTGTTACTGTGATTTCTATAAATAGGGGACTCAAATGCACTAAGACCTATGCAGACAAATAGTGAAAACTGATCCCTACAAACAAGATAGAATAATATCAATAAACAAACTTAGCAAACACTATGAAGGCATCTTGGTTAAATTAGTAAAATAACACAGACCAGGTCTTAGGTTTTGTAGTTATCCGCTAAGTGTCATATAGCTATCACTTTGCTTTTGTGATCAGAGACATAACTGTTAATTATGCCGATATTATTATCAAAGAAACATCAAACATTTTGTCAGAGATTTTTAAGTTGCTTAGATATGAATGAAAGAATAAGGATAAAAATGTTTAACACAGTAAAAGCTATTATCAACAAGAAGGAATACATTTATTCTGCAAAGAAACTAAACAGACCTACTATCTGCTTCAACTAGTTTCTTGAACTCCTACAGAACAAGTTTACATCATAAGAGGTATTTGGCACTGGTTCCTTAAAACCTGATCAGAGATGAAAAAATTGCCTTCTCTTTGACCCCATCAACAAACAGACCTGTAAATATTGAAAAAAATTGTTACAATGCATTTTACTTACCCTCATCCTTCCATTTCTTATTGCTGGTCCATCTTCTGCTAACCTCAACACATACAAATCCATTTTGTACTCCCTTCCTCCTCGAATACTAAACCCAAAACCTTTGGCTCCTTTCTCCAAATCAACAGTGAAATAATCAAAGTCCTGTACAGACAAATACAAAATGAAAGACAATTAACCATATGAATGTCATCATATACATTCAAGAAAACTTTAAAACGCTTCTCTTCAGAAGTGCATCTATCCAATTGATATAAGCAAACAGACCTTCAAAGTATACTTCTGCACTGACAGACTTTGGCTGTTTCTGAAAAACTACTTTAACAAGATGCAAATGCCTAAGTCTGAACCACCCTGAAAGGGCATCTTCCAGCAGTTTCTGGTACCAAAAGCTCTCTGGATGGTTTCCATATTCACCCTCAATACTTTCGCGGCACCCTAGTTTAAGTGTTTGTGTCTATATGGAAGTGCTGTTTTGATAAGTGAGGTGTTCCTGTATAAGCATCATCGCATCTAAAAATTAGTAGGGGAGACACCTCCTAAATTCCTGGCAGAAGTTAACATGATGAGCAGGCTGGGGTGCATGGAGTTACAAAGCAGAGCAACTCTCATCACTTTGGTTAAAACATGTGCCGTGAGAAGGAGGTGGGAAGTAGGAGATTTGAGTTTCACCCTTTCTGTGTCCTTCAGAGACTGAGATTCACCTTTCCAGTTTTTCCTTGCTGGACACTAACTACCAGCCTCGTAGAGGGGTCTTGCTCTGGGAACTTGCTCTGTTGCTTCTGATCGCAAGAGTGCGAGACCCATGGGAACAGCAGAAAAACAAGAGCAAGCTTGGATTATGTACACCAGTGGTTAGATAATTACACTGGAGATGGTGACAAAGAGGCAGGCTAAGCAACTCTCTAGAGGCTGAGAAGCATCTTACTGGGTATGCACATGTGGATGGTAATTTGCTACTTAGATATTGAAATGCATAACATTCTCAGAGGGTTCTCTGTATCCCATTTAAGAATCTGGATATTTCCATTGATACAGTTTATGTGTCTGGCTTTGAAAATACTGACATAGAAACCATCTATATATGGTTCCAGCATATAGTGTCCAGAAGTTTACATTCCCTTATTTAATATTTTTATGGCCTTTGTTTTTTTCTGCCTTTATGTAAGGACAACAGAGGATGTTTATGGAAGTCTGAACTTTGGGCTAAACCCTCAAACCTTCACAGCTGTCAGTAAGTATTTGTCATCAGCAGAATCTTGGCCGAGGTAACACAACTTCTCATCTAAGGTTTATTTCTTTGAATTTGTAAGCTCATGCCTGATGTCAAAGAAACTAGTTGCACGAGTTGGTTTCTCCTCATCCAGACTGTTACCAATAGAAATGTTATCTTATCAATCAGGATTCACATTTATTTAATTATTCAGATTAGATAAAATCTTCTTTTTCAACAGTGCTGTGGAAATGCAGTCTGACCTAAGTACATCCTCTGTTTGTTGACTGTAATATGTTCCTAGGAATGAAAATATTCCTCTGCTGATGCAAAGACAGCTTATTGTAGAACTTTTATTTAACTCTTCAGTACCTTGAAAACAACATTTATTTAGCATTACAGTCACACAATTATAAATGTAGTGCTATTTGACAGATAACATAGTTCTTCATTAATATTAATGGTTTTCAAGTACTCTTCTCTACAGAGAAATAGTAACTCAGAGTAAAAACAATAAAGATGCCTTTTTCTTCTATAATGTCATCTTTTTTACCAATATTCGTGACTTCTCCTGCAGACCCTAATGCTTTCGGTTTAGGAGTGTTCTAAGTATTTCAGTTTGTACCTGGGGCTGCCTGTAGTCTGACAGAGGGTACTGCCTGGTGTCGGGTGAATGCTGCCTGTAATCTATCAAGGGTGGCTGCCTGTAGTCGAGAGGTGGTGGCTGCTGGTAATCCATCACAGGAGGATGCCTGTAGTCCAGCGGAGGCTGTCGGTAGTCCGTTGAGGACTGCCTGTAGTCTGTAAATGGAGGTTGCCGGATATCAGGTTTCACATCCTGTCTGGCTTTTACTTCTGACCTATAACTGAGAAAGGCAAAATGACTCAGTTTCAGAAAGTGGCAAAACGTTAAGAATATGAATTACATGCAATATTGAACAGTGAAAGCAAACTGCCTGACTGCATAAAACAAATTTTCACAGAGAAGCAAAACTTTTGAGGGTGAATAGTCAAGTCATCCAAAACCAATGAGCGCTTTTGAAACATGGATTTAAGCAATTTTCCCTCCGGTCGTACCGTGCAATTTTCCAGCTTGTATCAGTGAGATCAAGATTAGCTCAAAGGGACAGGAACAGGAAAAGCATCTTGATTCCCACTTAGCTTGCCTACTTGGAAGATGAAACTGCATGTGAAAACACCCACAATACTCCCTACAAAATAATGTGAGCACTGAGTTTATAAAGCGCTTTCTTCCAGAGTTAAGGTTGCTATAGATTAAATGAAACATCAGTGCAGTCATTTATAGCCCCTCTGTTTCATTGATACAAACTATTATTATTGTGAGCTTCTTAAGGTTAAAAAAGGATATTCTTTGTACTAGCTGTTATGTTTTTAATGAAAGGTATTCTTTGATATAAAATCTGTTAACATAGTATGTATTATTATTATTATTACACACTCCCAGTAATACTATCTGGCTACAAGCCTGTAGAAGGTCGTATCACTAGTTACACATAGGAGTAACACAGGGTGAAAAGAAAACAAATTTGGCTAATGAGGAATTAATAACAAGCAAAATATTGCTTTAATAGGTAACTGGTTCCAGGAAGATGAGTCCTGACATTTGAAAGAAAATGTGACTTTCTGTAGTGCAGCAAGTAGTTAATTAATTTACTCAGATGGGAATGAGCAGCTCCCTTACCACACGGAAATGGTGCACAATGGCATTTCACACTTCATGGTGAAGTACGGAATATTTCTTACTACAAACCCCTGTACTTCATCCATGTAACATGCTTAATGCGCACAAAGGAAGTCCCGAACCTTTTTTAGTAAGGTAATTCTGTAACGGTGGTTTGAGTTGGATTTGACAAAAATGTTCACATAGCAGATGTTTTTACACTCTTCCCTAGGTGCCAAAGGAAATATTTTTTTCCTACACAGGAGATACACATTTCAAACTCTGCTTTAATAACATCCAGGAAGTTTTCAGTCCACCAAGAGACCACGTATGTGTATGTACACGTGTAGATACATGGACGCATGTAGACTGTGAAAGGGATTTTGAAATGTACTTATTGATTAAAAAAAATTACGTTTTGAAAAAATGAGAGCATTGTTTTTGATCATGTTAATTTATGTATAAAAAGATAATCTAAATAATCTAAACATTTCAAAATGCTTCAGATATGTTTCAAAACTTCATTACTCTATTAACACTTTATCAATGTTACAGCAACATTATGGCAAATCTTTGTACACACTAGCTTTAATTAGCTGAATGTCTAACCAGACACAAAAATATTAGAACTATTTCCCATTCACTTTTCAGAGAAGATGAAAATAGCCTTCTGCCACATTTTCTTTTAAAACCTGTACATGGCATCTATAATAAGACCTGTATGTATGCATGCAATCCTCTTACTTTTCTCAGTACCATGGTCCTGTAAAAATAAGACAGAGAACAAACAGGCTTACTGTGATACTGAGCCTTATTAATATTGGAAGTAAAAATACTAGTTATTATTCCTAAGAGTTTTAAATATAGTATTTTGATTTTGATACAGAAACGATGAACATGGCTAGCTAAACAAGCTGTAATCTCATTTATACCATTTAGTGAAAAATGATGTTATATGAATTAGCAATAACGGACCTTTTCCTGGAATAAGTCTCATCCTTAGGCAGGCTCCCAATATACAATCACAGCTGTATCCCAGAAGATGAAGCTTTTATTTACAGATGGGGGCACTGTAATTTTTGCTGAATATGTAAATGGTGACAGGACCGATTATAGCTTAGGTTTTCAGTAAAACTATTATGGAATTTCTTTTTGGAACTTTAATTAGTATAGTTTATTGGTCCCCTCTGAAAATTCCCAGTTCAACAGACATTGAATACTGACTTACAACTGTGCAGAGAGACTTTTGTGAAAGCTTTGCATTGGACTTTGTCAGAAACATATGTCTTTCAGGAGCTGATTACTTTTGGAAAAACTACTCAATGAAATACAAGTCAAAGAAATTTGCCAGGTGTGACTAATTGAGAGCAAATAGTTTTGTGCAAGTGAAAGTGCTACATCTGTAGTAAGGAGAATTAGAGGGCATAGTGTCTAAATCACAACTGAACTCAAGTATCCCCAGAAGCAAAAAGTTACAATCCTGTAACCAGCATCTACTATTTAGGGAAGAGGGTCTTGATGAGGTATGTTGGTTACTGAAGATTAGCATAAAGACAGTCAGTGTAATCAGCCTCATTTGACATGCCAAAAATTAATCCAAAGACTAAATAGTGTTCATTTGAGATCACAGAAAGTTGTATCATCCCACAGCCTGAGTGTGCTTTTTATATATACAGCTTTTGATACATCTGGTCACAAAATTTCTATCCCCCTACTGTTTAATTTCCATCACAGATAAATTTGTCAATGCATATGCATAAATTACATACAGGAAATTTCTTGGAAAATGATACACCATAGATAAAACCTGTTATAAAAATATCTTCCTGACCCCAGAACCCTAGTAGACCAAAAAAAAAAAAAAAAAACCCAACAAACCAACAGGTAATATATTGAAAAAAAAGGCCACCTGACAATCAGATACTGATATACCCATATTTTGTACATTATAGTGATATAAGGATGTAGCATGTCAGCAATGAAATTATTAGCAAAGAATACTTCAGTGTTTAGTTCCATGGCAAACATACAATTCTGATGGATATTTGAGGAAGGCTGGCTTAAACAACCCTTGCTCATAATAACGTGTTTCATACCTGAACGAGACTTACAGATCATCCTGGCATGCACAATTCATGCTCTGCGAGCGCAATCAGGGGACCGTGGCTTGTCAGAGCCCACAAGCGATGGCTCACAGCTGCTGAAACAGCATGAAGACCCAGCACAAGGGTGTCCCGTGGTCCTCACTGGAGGCAGAGGCTGGAGGAGCCACTCTTACCTGTTTTCATGTCCCTGCAGCTGGAGGGGCTGTGGAGGTGGTGGCTGGGTGACAGGGCTGTGCTGGGCGACAGGGCTCTGCTGTGCCAGGGGACTCTGCTGGGCCATGGGGCTGTGCTGCTGGGCCATGGGGCTCTGCTTCTCCGAGCTGGGGGCTGAGGCTGGGCTGTTCAGCTCTGCATAATGGGAAGCTGGAGATTAAAGACCTGTCACAGCACAGCATTTAATAAAGGGCAAAGGTAGACAATAAAAATTTTTGGTCACAAACTACCTCTGAAAATTTATGCTTTGTCACTTTTAGTCTCTTGGGTTATAATTAGATTTTAAGACATCAGAACCTAATGGGCTCCTTTTGATAGTCTGTGGGATTTGAAATCTTGATCACTTCTATAACTCTGGTTGACATCTCTATCATTTAAACCCCAGCTGAACAAGGCAAATTGCTTCCATGTTTCATGTTTTCTTTTAAAGCCAATAAATACTGATCATAGAATCATAGAGTCATAGAATGGTTTGGGTTGGAAGTGTTCTTTAGAGGTAATCTAGTCCAACCCTCTGCAGTGAGCAGGGACATCTTTAGCCAGACCAGGTTGCTCAGGGCCTCATCCAACCTGACTTTGGATGTTTCCAGGGATGGAGTTTCTCACACCTCTGTGGGCAACCTGTTCCAGTGTTTCACTACCCTCATCATAAAAAATTCCTTATATCTAGTCTAAATCTACCGTCTTTCAGTTTAAAACTATTGGCCCTTGTCTTATTGCAACAGGCCCCAGTAAAAAGTTTGTCTCTGTCTTTCTTACAAACTCCCTTTCAGTACTGGAAGGCCGCTATAAGGCCTTCCCGGAGCCTTCTCTTCTCCAGGCTGAACAACCCCAACTCTCTCAGCCTGTCCTCATAGGGAAGGTGCTCCATCCCTCTGATCATCTTTATGGCCCTCCTCTGGACCCACTCCAACAGGTCCATGTCTTTCCTGTGGTGAGGACTCCAGAGCTGGACACAGTACTCCAGGTGGGGTCTCATCAGAGCAGAGTAGAGGGGCAGAATCACTTCCCTCGACCTGCTGGCCATGCATCTTTTGATGCAGCCCAGGATATGGTTGAGCCTTCTGGGCTGTGAGCGCACACTGCTGGCTCATGTCCAGCTTTCCATCCACCAGCACTCCCAAGTCCCTCTCGGCAGGGCTGCTGTCAATCCCTTCATCCCCGAGCCTGTATTGATACTGGGGATTGCCCTGACCCAGATGCAGGACCTTTCACTTGGCCTTGTTGAACCTCATGAGGTTCACATGGGCCCACTACTTGAGTTTGTTCAGGTCCCTCTGGGTGGCATCCCGTCCCTCAGGGGTGTCAACCACACCACTCAGCTTGGTGTTATCTGCAAACTTGCTGAGGGTGCACTCTATCCCACTGTCTAGGTCATTGATGAAGGTATTAAACAACACTGGTCCCAGTATGGACCCCTGAGGGACACCACTTGTCACCGATCTCCATCTGGATATTGATCAGTTGACCAGTACCCTCTGGATGCGACCATCCAACCAGTTCCTCATCCACTAAACAGTCCACACATCAAATCCATATCTCTCCAGTTTAAAGAAAAGGATGTTGTGAGGGACTGTGTCCAAGGCCTTACAGAAATCCATATAGATGACATCTGTAGCTCTTCCCTTGTCCACTGATGTAGTCACTCCATCATAGAAGGCCACTAGGTTGGTCAGGTAGGACTTGACCTTAGTGAAGCCATACTGGCTGTCTTGAATCACCTCCCTTATCCTCCACGTGACTCAGCACAACTTCTAGATACTTGAAATAATTTTAATTTTGAAAAAACTTTTAATTTCGAGAGAATGAATGATCTTGTTGCTTTCACCACTGTTATGGGATGAGAGATTGTTGTCACAAAAGCTAAAACACTGGTATGCTTGTGTTACCTTCTGCTGACTTTGAGCTCAACAAGAGTTTCCTGTCTTTTTAAATATTTGGGCACTGTCAACAGTAAAACCAATCTCAATAAATTCTGACTAATCAGCTAAACTGATATTTTATTTCACTCTATTGTGCCAAATGATTAGGGTTTCACATAGGAACAGTGCAGAAAACCAGAATCCTTCTTTCCAAACAACATGAAATTAAAAAAGACAGAGGCTGGGGTAGGAAATGTGGACTTGTGGCCTTGTGGCCTTGTTACAAATAAAGGATGCCAATCTTCCTTCAGGCTTCCTGCTGCACTTGGGGGAAGACACATTTGGCACTGAGCTCATATTGAATATATTTCTCCTGACACACTGGCACAGTTATGTTGCTCATCATTTACCTATTAAGAAGTGTAAATAAGAGACACTCCATCCAGAAAAGGACAGAGCACTGCAGAAGTAATTGCTCGTGTGTTGTCACCAGCAAAGCTATACATTGTAGGTTTTATTCCTGCGTGCAACAGAATGATTGAGGCCAGTGTGGTGTGGTGCAAAGCATCCATAATGGACATGCATATGGCTGAGCATCCCTAACAGCAACAGCTATGCACAATTCAGATCTTGCCCAGTTTTGTATTTGAATCCAGTCTGAATTTTGAATTATTTTATTTTTTATTTTTTAGCGTATGAGTTTGTCCTCTGTGACTGCACATTTCTAAAGGCTGTCTCCCTATTTAATTTATACTCATAATTATTTTTAAAGTTTTGGCTACTTTATTAAAAATCTTTTCAATTTTGGCTTAATTGTCAAAAAAGCTTGTATATTTGCACTTAAGACACTCCTCATGCAGGCATGAGCAATACTTGTCTGTGTAATTATTATGCTTAAGGCTTTAATTGCCCATTTTGCATCTGTGAGTCTCTTTTCTATTGCAAAGTTTCAGAGAGAAAGATTGGGAATGTTGTCCCTCATTTCTACATTGCTCTCATAACTATGGATGAAGTAGTCAAATCATAAGCTGCTTCTAAAACTGCTTTGCATTTATATAGTATTTTTCACCTGAAAGTACATTACAGAGATATTAGATTTTTTCTAATTTTATAAGCTGGGAAGCTAATATCAGAAGGCAAATTAGGTGTCCAGTGTCACACAGTCACACAGGGAAGCCTTGCCTTGGGAACAAATAATTTCTCACCACTAGCACCCACAAACACCCTGTAGCATTGCATCTCAGACGTACCTGTACTTTCTTTCTAATTTAAGATATGCATCTCTAACACGGAACTATTAGCAATTTGCTCATATGAATTAATGTGGGTACCAGGAAGGCCTAAATAAGCATCACACTTGTTTGTAGATGCTTGCAAAACCGACCTCCAGTGATTATACAGCAGCTCTTTGGTGTGAATTCTGAACTTGTGTTTGATTGTGTTTTTCCCTTCACTGAATTCATTTAACAAAGTAGGTAAGTTCCTCCAGTTGCAGTCCCTGGCCAGTGTCAGACTATTTCCTTGTCCCGCTGCTGGATGCAGCAGCAGAAGGTGAAGGTCATCTAACAGGAGCATGGATCATTAAGTAATTACATTACTTGCTGTGGGACATTCTCAGTTTTAATGGTATTTGTTGCTGAGGTATAAAGCATTGTATATAAAGCATCATTAATATGATACAATTCATACACTTGTACAGCATATCACTACACTAAAAAAAGCCCTGAAATCAACCCCAAACCCCACAAAATCAACGCAAAAAATCTTCACTGATAGCTGTGAAGTAATGACCAGACGAATGAGTCTGTCCCCTTATCCTCACCTTATAAATGAGATAATTTAAGGTTCAGTTCTTTACAGCCTTGTACATTTACAGTGATAAACAGGGAAGAAACTACCAAATCTGAACTCTTCCTTCATATCAGTTTTTGTGACAGGTAGCTGCTAGCTTGGTGACAGCCATTGCAGTTTCTTGTGAGTCACTTTGCCAAACTTTGGTTTGGTTTAGGGCAGGCTGTAAGGGAATGAACTCAAAACTTGTCTTTCTTGTAGGATGCTTTTCCATGTAGAAGACAATTCTTCACAAAGATGTTAAATCTGACTCTCCAGTACTCAGCTATCTCAGGTTTCTCCAGGTTTCCTTTAAATACCCTTTTCATAACTAGAAACCTTTTCAAGAATTCAGATATTATTTGAGCTGGTTCTAAGACTGTAATGTTGGTGTGCTGTACATTACAGCTGAGAAAGAGAAACAAAAGACGTTTTTCAAGAGGTGACATAATTCAAGCTAATTGGAGGCTACTTAAAATTTTCTTCTTGTTTTTAAGGGCCATTGACTTACCCTCCTGAGGAATGATGCGAAGAGTTACACTGAGACCTGCATCTTTAATTAGCTTCACAATATCTGCGTGAGGCATGTTAATAATAGACTGGCCATTCACAGCTAAGATCCGGTCTCCAACTTTAAGTTTTGCACAGCGATCTGCAGGACTTCCATCAATTATCCGCCCTATTTTATGGGGTACAGCTAGACAAAGAACAGTAGTCACAGTTAACACATGCTGAAATAAGTGGCAATGTTCACAAGCAAAAGAAAATGAGTTCACTTGGAAGAAAGTTCCATATGAATTAAAAAACAGCTTTTATATAATCATGTAAGAACATAAATTCTTACACAGTGTCATTTGCATTAACACAGTAGAGATTTCACTAAAAATTCAGAATCCAGATGTGCATATATTCATGGCATATACATATGAAGTCCAAAATCAGTTTGTGGTTCAGCTAGTTTGCAAACGTGGCACGTAACAAGACAATAAACAGAACAGGAGAAAAATAAGACATTAAAATAGTGAAGGGTATAAATTTGCACAATAAGTAGTAGTCATAAATTGCCTCCCACCTTCTAGTTTACAGAATTTCTTTACTTGCATGTTGCAATAGAAGCACTACAACCATGATTTATTTTATATACAAGGGGATGTTATTACTGAAAATGTGCAGGGTTCACTAAATTGTTCTCCTCCTCCATTCAAATACGTTAATTGATAAATAGAAATCATACTGAAGATTATTGAGATGTGCAGCTTTCTAATTAGATACATGCCAGCATGAATTTACAGTTAATTGGGAGTGCATAGACACATTTACTACATCAAATACACACCCCACCCACACAGACATTCTCAAAACATTACAGATCAGTTTTGCTTCTCCTTTTGCTCTTCTCTGTGGTTCTCCACCTTTCTGTGTACTCTATCCATTCTCTTCTGTTTTTTCCCTCATTTTCCACTGAATCTTTTAAATATTACTCTTGATCCTTCTCCCAGTGTTTCTTCCCTATTCTCCTCTGTTTTTTAACTAAATGCATATACTATACCTTAGTCTTCTCTCTATCTAGGCTCCCCAAAGAGAATGCTATTTTTCTTTCTCTCTACTACTCATAAATATGCTTATCACAATCAAATTAGACTATATATTCCATTAATATCCTAATGGTGTCTGAGTATCCCTCACTAATCCCACAGTTTGGTCTTGGCAAACAGCACAAAGCTGCTTGGCCTCACTATCCACCTGCAACTGGTGTTTAAAAACACTCATATTTCCTTTTTTTTAAAAAAAAAAAGTTTTTAAATAATACATCCTTAAAATTCTAATATCTAAAGAGAACTTGGAAAATGGTGAAAGAAAAGATTAATCAAACTTTTTTTTTAAAAATATCTAGACTATCAATGCTCATATAAAACAAAGCTCTAACAGGAGATGGGTACAGAATACTCCACCACTGCAGAACAAATTTCTCAGCCCTCTGATAAAAATTCCCTGAAGGTGATGGTGACGAACACAGATTGTACATCTCATGCAGTCACAACACACATACCTCAAAGTGACTTTTGTTTCTAGTATGGATGCAAGTGTTGTTTACAGTGTTAAAAATTAATTTTCTGAGAACTAAAAATATAAGTGAGTACTTTGAAGTGCAAGTCATAATCAAACTGCATGTGTCTTTATCACTACAGTTCAGGCAAGAATACAAATTAAATTATGGCTTTAGTAATATGGACACAACTAGTCTATTTAGGAAATAAGCACCTAATTTATGTCACAACTTTTTTATGTCTAATTTATGTCTAAACCTTTCTATGTTTTAAAGTACACTAAATATGGATAGCCACACTTTGTATAAAACATGCACTTATTTTGCCTTCAATGCAGACTCATAACTGCCATGCATGCAGATCAGTAAGTAAGCAAGTAAAAGAGTAACTTGACACTGAAAGAGTTTACAGTCACCAAAACATGCCTGTTGCTGGTATATGTAATAAAAGATCTGTCTGAAATTACTATGTCTGCTCTATACACCAGTGGAGACTGGAAAATGAGACTGCCTTATATGAGAGAGCAAGACATTTAGTAGGAAGAAAAAAAGGAAGGATTATGGCTGAGATGACATAGTTAAAATTCTCATACTTGCCATTTCTAACCCCAAAGAAGATGCTTTTGCTAGCCTAAATAATTAAGTAGAGGCATCATTTCAGTAGTGAGGGGGGTGGGCAGGTTGGAAGACCTATTAATTTGCCAGAACAATTTTTGTTGGACTTCTTGCACCTGACAAGTGAATAAAGCAGATGTCTGCATGTTTGAGATGTCTGCTAGAATCAAAGCTGGTGGTGGGAGAGCTGAGAGAGTCTGAGTCTGCTCCAAATCCTGAGGAGAGGGAAGGGAAGGAGAAAGAGGAACTTTGTATTCTTTTTTCTTTGTCTTAAACCTAATGGCCTTTACCTTCCTGATAAAGGTATCTACTCTACACTGCACTCCCTTCATCCTGCTATGTTATGAAGGGATCAACAGCTGGTGACCTTCAGAACAAAGCTCGTGTTTGTCAAGGTACCTTTCTACTGCACTTTGGTTTTTGAGGTTTTTATGCTTCTCTTCTGAGGTTATATTGGTGCAACATGTTGTCATATGAACTTGCTGCAGAGCGGGATATGGAAAGCTTTTGCAGAAGGTACCTGAATCTCTATCAGATTCTTTAAAGGAGAAATTTTTATGGGCAAATCTAGTAAATTACCATTGAAACTCACAGCCATTCAGCAGAAGCAGGTTTCTGTGCATTTCTAGACAATATGAGGAGAAGGTTATCTCCTGGCTCCTTCTCTCCCGTTAATATCCCAAGGAGTTTCTGGTCTTTGCTTGCTTTCCCAAGAGGACCTCTGCCTGAGCTTCTTCCTAAGCCACAATATCCTGGCCACCATGGTCCCTGCTGCTGCCTTGGGAGGGGAGGACTTATTTAAGGATTTATTTACAAACACAAGTGCTTCTAAGGGATGCAGGTCATCTGATGTGCAGGTTGTTCATGAAAATGTGAAAATGTTAGAATATGTTACAAAGCTTTTCATTTTTAAGAGCCTTTGGTGGTGAAATACTTACTGTGAAGGGATAAGAAGGAGCTACTCTCATAGGGGATTAATTAGGTAAAAGCTAAGGAACAAAGGTAGAAATGAACTGTGAATTTCAAAAATGGAGAGTTTTTCTCATTTAGAATGGTCACATCCAAACCAGGAGTGTAAGAGCTGTAAAACTGTCGGTATCAAGTGGGCTGAGTGCAGTGGCAGACAAGTTCTCATGAAAAGAAACGCAAGATGATGCACCTGGGGAAAAAATAACCCTGTCTAAGCTTGAGCAGAGATGAGCCCTACATTTGTTATTACCACTCAAGAGATCTTGAAATAAGTGTGCGTACTTCTCTAAAAACATGAACTCAGTAAAACATTAAATATAATTTTAAGAGTTAGAAAAAGAACAGCAAATGAAACAAACTAGCAGTAGTTACTGCTGTGCACCTAAAGTTTGAGTATTGCTGATAGTTTCGGCAAATCATGGCACTGAACTAGCAAAGATTCAGAGAAAGACCGCATGGCAGTCAGAAGCAGAAAACAGCCTCTGCTGATTAAATCAGAAAGTCGTAATTGTGAAAGCTGAAGAGATGCCTAGGGAAGGTCCCTGTCTGCTTTAGGTGCTCTCCTTTCTGCCACTGATCATGGCCAGGGACAGTGCAGAGCTGCGCAGCTTTTCCGTCTCTCCCAGCATCACAGGTCTCTTCTTGGCAAGAAACCTTCCATGTTTAGCATTTAATTAGAGCTTTGTTAACACATCGTATTTTTTCCTAAATTCCCTTCAGTGCCTTATTTTCATCTAAGCAGGCCATTTAATAATATAACCTTTTAAAGGAAGTCCCAGATCAATTGACTGGTGGTAAATGATTCCACTCGCCCTTAAAAATTTTTACTAATCTATTCACACCTCTTTTAAGAATTCAGCACAAGCTGTTCTCCCAACATATGTACATTTCGAACAGTGGCAGCACGTGCCAGGATTAGACTCTGCAGAGAATTTGATCCACTTATTTCAAAACACTGAGTTACCTGAGCAGCATTTAATATTAGCAGGCTATCCAGAAACACTTGGATTTGTCGCTTTTTTTTTCAAGAATCCCATTATTCACACTAAGACTGAGCACAGAAAACAAGCTGCCCCTTTGCAGGACAATTAATTTCTTAGTTCTCTCAGGCTACCAATGGATGAGACTGCAAGGGAAAAATATTGCTGTAAGCAGGGATTTATACAGATTTTTTTAACTGTTGAAAACGTGGGAAATTGGTGACATACAGTTTATATGTATATTAAACATACGGTCCTTCAAAATAGATGTATAGGATTTTTTCTCTAATACTATCAAGTCACCCAAAATGTGGTACTCAAGAGTGATATGGGTATCTACCTTAAGAAAAATAAATCCTTCCAAGGCAGAAGTCATAATCCTAGATCCAAAAAAATCTAGCAGAGACCAGCAAGGCTACAGAAGAATTTCGTAACAACGGAACTTATGATGGGATCTAACTTTTCTGCAGTGTGTTTTTTAAAAAATTCATCACTTCAGTAAGATTTGAATCCTGAGAGCACTAAAACTTCTAAAATATTTGAAGCCATTAACCTCTCCTGCTATATCTCCTTCAGGTATTTACAGCATTTGTGTCAGGAACACGAAGTGACCCAGCACTGGCACCAAGCAGCTGATGCTTTCCCAGAAGGTAGTTAATTGTGCAATGATCGGCTCTAAGCTCATTATCCAAAGAGATCTTAAATTAAAAAAATAAAAGAAAAAATGATTTAAAAGAAATCTTTACATTTAGAAAGTGGATAAGGTCTGCTTTCAGAAACTTACTGGTAACTACAAATTCACACTTTTCTCTATACTATTTTTATTTGATAAAATCACCCATTTTTGCTCTCAATTACACAAATTAACAACCTTCCCACAGCTTCATGTCATAGAAAAGAAAGAGTAAAATCTGTAGCGCTACACATGAGGGTCCGTATGCTTGGGTCAGCTGCACATAAAGCCAGAGTAGTTGCTGAATACAGATACTGCTTCTAACACTGTATATATCTATCAGCCTCTTACTTTTCAGAAGTAAAAATTTCTTTTCAATTGGGAGACCCATATGCTAGAAGTAGCTGATTCTA